TTTTCTGTTCACCCATGGCAGCTTTAATCACATCCACCTCTCGCTGGGTAAACTGCAAACTCGTTTTTATCTCCTGTATTTCTCTGGTCATGTCGTCGAATCTCTTGTTGTTTGTCTCCATAATTAGTTGCACGAAACTTTTGAAGTTTTCCTGCTGTTGGTTCATCAGCGATGTACATCTGTTTCTGCTGATCCAGAATGTCTGTTACTTGCGCCGCTCTGTGATACACTTCTTCTGCCTCCATATCCTCAGTCGCTTCTGATTTATTAGCTCTTTTCCCTCTTGAAGGCATTTTAATAGTTATAGAATTTGTTCAAAGACTTGAAAGTGTAGAAGATGTGAAAAAGCGTAGAACAGACAAGAGGAGCAGTAAAGACGTCTGCTCTCGCTTGCAACCCGGAAATTTTTAATGTTGTTAAACAACTATTTGAACATTAACATTGTTATATTGTTCAGGTCAGTGTAAAAGTGTGTAGCCTAAATATATTTGTTTTGTATATATTCTCTCTATATATATTTCATATTTCTATTTCTAAAAACTTGTGCCTGTGTTGTCAGGTAGCACATGCACAGCTCCCTGAGCATCCTCAGCTCCCTCAGCTCTATTGTCTGAACCTTCTTTCTTTGGCAGGCACTCATCTTCACTGTCACTATAATCATCCTCACTGGAAGTGGAGGGAATTTCTTCCACTATACTGTAGGCCTCTCTATTCTGTACCGCACTCGTGCTTACCAAATAGGATGGTAAAGATGGTAACCCTTACTCACATAACAAAACTAATCTGCACAAAATATTGGTTTTACAGTAATAACCAGTCAAGACAGATAGTTCTAATAACATGAACAAATAAATATAGAACTCAAATTTTTAATAAAAACATTGCATTTTCAAAACAACAATGTTGCAGCAAATAGTATACATTTATAGCTGAAATATACATAGCTAAGCAATATATATTCCTTATATGAAATCCATACTTGAAATATAAAACAGTTATGTTATTCCTTACTTTACGATTTCATTATTAAAGCTGCAAGTGAAAGGAATTTTAACTGCAGTTACAACTGCAGGCCACTGGGTAGAAGCCTATGAAGTGATGCTGTATTGTCCGCTGTAGCGGCTGATATTGAAACTTGTGCATTTACAACAAATTGGCTCTTGAATAACTGTCCACTGCAGAGACCAAGGGGTTAAATCACAGTGCACTGAGCCTGAGTCTTTAATTTCTCTCAAAAGTGTCCTGAACTTGTTTAGTTTCAATGCAGTTCAACATTTTTCATCCTCAAGAGGACAATGGTTTTGCAGCCTTCTACCTCTGATCAGTAACTGTCAACCGTGAAACTGCAGTTAAATTAGCTGAAAATATGTTGGCTGTTAATGCTAAATACAGTGCTGCCAGAAATGACAGCACAATTTAAATAAAAGAAAAGTTACATTTATCATAATGTAACAAATGTCAGATTATATATTTGCATTTTAAAGAAAAAAATTCCAAATGTAGTTTCATTACATTAACTTGCTATAGTGAAAAAGTTGTTCCATTAATAATAATTAGATCCGTTCGGCTGAGTCAGACTGGATGATGTGAGTGAAGCCGTCATCTTGTCAAACAAAAGGTCATTCTTCTGTTTCTGTCTGGGCAGACAGTGACAGCAGCCGATGCTTCTACGACATGTGACATCCAAATTACACAGTGTCACTGATATTTTTAATGTATACTGGGGTGTATTTTGTGTGGTTGACATACAGTTGAAATGGATGTGTAGCCGACTCACCCTTATGCCAAGCTCCACGTTTTCTCCACCATAAATTTCCATGCCTTCATCTAGCAGGCCAATCTCTTCAAAGTACTTCCTGTCAACCACAAAGCAGC